CCATTTTTCTGAAGAGTATGTCCGATTCAAGTTGAGCGCAGCAACCATATGAGCGAGTTGATTGTCCTCGTTCAACCGAGCAAGCATAGCTTGAGTCAGGGCAAATCCGTCCCTCATGTCAGACTCGTAAGTCGGATGAAAGACATTGCACAAGCAATTCTAAAGTCTTTCATCATGTGAGGGAGAGATTTGTTTGGCCACACTCGATCAAAATCCCGATAGCATTGTTTGTGATGACCATTTCTGGCCTCCACAATGTACCGGCACTTCGTCACGAATCGTGTCCTATTGGCCTGAGCCGTGGTAAGCTGTTTACTTTTATTCGACTCAGGCAAGTGGACATCGAGACCCAGTGTCGTAAGATGTTCAGCTACGTCCCTGAAACCTCGGTCGACGAGAACAACATCGTTATCTTCCAAACCGGCTTTAATCTCATTTGATAGTCGCTCCATAATGGTCGCATCATTGACCACGGCCTCATAAGGCCCAAATGCGTCAATGATGTAACCATGGGGGCGACAACCATAAACGGTTTTAGAAGATTTCGATGCTTCTGCACACTGTAGTTATTTTGCTGAAAGCCAAAGTTGGAGCTCTTTTGGTGGTAAATATAAGTACCATCTGCTATACTGGCAACTTTGTCTTCACCACAAAAGAGCTCTCGTGCGACAGTGGTAACATGTGACTTGAGTTGTTCCCGCGTTAGATGGCAAAAACCCAAGTGCAGTTCCGCCCACTCGCTCAATGCCTCCCTGGACTTCTCCGTGAGTCGCTCAGCAGTCGTTCGGGAAACTCCAGCAAGACTCGCAATTCTGCTGTCTGAAGCTCCAGTTCCGCGTTTCGCCAGCCACAGTCCGAGAGCTGTTCTTGGGTGTTGTATCTCTAAAGTGATTAGAGAAACAGCGTCCAAAACAGTTCATTGAACTGGTCGATTGTTAAACCAGTCCAATCTCGGACGACGTCCTCAGCCATCGAATTTATATTCAAAATCGAGGAATGGTGGACGAGGTTGTTTGAACAACAAGCTAACCATATCCTCGATTTGTGCTGATGAATAAGACATAAAATCAGCAGATAACTGGCCCCAACTTTCGTTATCCAAATGCGTTGGGCAGACCTTCGCCTCTCAGGGAATGTAGATTCGATGACCCGTAAGAATTTGCGAACGAATTGATGGAGACATTCTTGTGCGCTTTGAAGACTCATGTCCAAATACACACCGCGATTGTGTATTGGCCATCCGTGGAATTGTTAAGTCAATTACTCCCTTTGCCATCATGGAGCAATTGGCTTCACAATTACCAATCGTCTTTCCTGCAGCCTCCGGCATCTTGAGCACATGTGCATTTTTTCAAAAGGAACGTAAACACTATCTGGACTGTATCGGATTCCCATTTGTTCCAGATAGTTTTTACGTTTCTCTTGAATAATCGCACGTAACCACAACTTTAAAGGCCCTTTAAGACCAAACATCTCTCCTAGTTGCTTCCACAACTTGGACATGACAATTTTACGTCATGTTCAATTTGAGGTAAATCCCTGTCCTCATCATTGGGATCCAAAAGCGGATGGTGACACAAATGGTGTGATTTGTTGGTAAAACGTGTTATCGTTCTCTCATTCGAAGAGCGGTTCCAATGGTTGACACAAATGGAGTGATTTGTGGGAAAAAAGTGTTGTCGTTCTCTCACTCGAAGAGCGGTTCCAATGGTTGTCACAATTGGTATGATTTGTGCGCAAAACGTGTTGTCGTTCTCTCACTCAAAGAGCGGATCCAATGGTTGACACTAATGGTGTGATTTGTGGTCAAAACTTGTTGTCCTTCTCTCACTCGAAGAGCGTTTCCAATGTTCGACACAATTGGTATGATTTGTTGCAAAACTTGTTATCGTTCTCTCACTTGAAGAGCGGATCCAATGATTTGCAGAATTGGTGTGATTTGTGTCAACACTTGTAATATATCTCTCACTCGAAAACCAAAAATATTTATAGTTTTTGCGCCAAAAAATGCAATCATTTTTCTTAATACATATTTTTGGGGTTTTCCTCAAATATTCAATGCATTTACGTATTCACAAACAACGTTACGATTTATTGGCATTTTTCCCATTAATTAAAAACTCAGTCCTTAATTCAATTAAAATAATAACAAGGTTCACACGTGATGCTATACATAAACTACAATTAGTGTATTGCATAAATAATAGCATTATCTACACATTTAATCAGAGTCCATAAGATTAGCATTCTCCATAGATGTAGCATTGTTATTAGATTTAACATTAACGAAACATGGCCACCGGATTGTCGCGCATAGTCTTCAGCGAACAGTGGGTCGTAATGTTGGCCACCGTTTCGGTCGTAAACTGTTTGCCGAGAAAGCGGGCGATTGTGGCAATCATTGCGCCGAGTCTGCGATTAATTCCTCGAACGCTATGAACAGTACGTTCGGGTGATTCCCAGTGCCGTACGCGAGCCAGAAGTCGGTCACGTGTGACATCCAATCGCCGTACATTTGCCGCACGTCAAAAAGATTTAACACATTTCATTCCAATCTATGTCTTAGCTATCCATTATAATGTTGTACAAGCCATATGACCGCCGAGTTTTCTGAGCGACCGGCTCTACTTTTTAAGGATTAATGGGCGGCCGGCGCTCAACGACATGTTGGCATTACAGGTACTGTCGGCGGTCGTGCCGAACCCTATCCACGGCTATGAATAATAATTATTATAATTTACATAATTATAAAAAACATAAAAATATACAATTAAACATTACTTACCCTATATTGTACATTAACACAAACAACACATACACACAAAAACATAAAATTAAATGATTAGAAAAAGAAAATGAAAAACAAAAATTATTTTAAAAAAAGATGATAAAGTAAATAAAATGAAAAAAATTAATTTAGTAAATAAAATAAATAATAAATAAGTAAATAATAAAATGATAACTGTAAAGAGATAGAATACATAATGATTAGATAGTGAGAGAAAAGTAAAAGTTAAGAAAAATAGATGAATAAAAAATGATAATGAGTAAATAACAAATGAAAAAAATATGCAAAATGTTAACAAAATAGAGACAAAAAACAAATCATTATACAATAATTTACATGTAAAGGACACAAACAGATAAAACATAATTGTCAAAAAAACTTAAAATATTTTAATGTTTGCATTAATTTGTCGTGAGTGACGGCACATCCTGGGCGGATGTGCAAAAGTCCTGATGCTGGCACAGTATAAATACTGGAGTCAAATGCTGTAGAATCTAATTGAATACTTGGGTTAATAAAGTAATTTTACTTGAAAAAAATACTTGGGTACTCAATTTGAAGCGAAACTCTGGTGGACTGGCCGACGACTTCCAGCGACTCAAGCGATTGGCGACTAATTGGCGACGACTCATACGGTTGGCAACTGCCCAGACGGTTGGCGACTACCCATACGTTTGACGACTATTCATACGATTGGCCACTCCTATACAATTAGCGACTACACAATCTGTAAACGGCTTCTCAAACCACCGGCAATCCGCGCCATCCGTTTCTAAGCAAAGGTGTATTAAATCACTCTCACTTTTTCCTTTCGCGCATATCTCCCTGAGTAGTCTTGAGTCACAGTCGGGTGCCGATAAAGTCTTTAGTGTGAAGGTTGAAGTCTCAATGGGGCGTCTGTACGGCCGCGAAGCCATAACGAGTTGTCTAACATACAGTTCGTACCCTGCGATACGGAAACTTAAACTCTATTGTCTGAGTCGGTAACCGTTATGTCCGTTAAGTTAATTAGAGTTTGTGAATCCGGCGATTGCTGTAGCGACACAGTCGCGGTATCTCTTGTTAGTTCCCTCCTGGCCCCTAACGCCCGGAGACATATGCGTCAGCCTTTAGCCGGTGGTTTAACTACCAGGCGGGAGGACGCCAATTGCCGTATGTCGTAAGCCTAACGCGTGGCCAGGCGCGCTTTTCAGCCCTTTGCCAGTGGCATAACCACCAGGCTGCTGATTGCTCTATGCCACATACAGATCGCGCAACGCACAGCCATGCACGCTGTTCAGCTTTTGCCGGTGGCTTAACCATTAGGCGGCTTGGCGCCAATTTGCCATAAGCCATGCTTGTCAAATTTCTTGAATATTTTGCTCCCTACGAACGAATATTCATTTGAAGTTTATGAAACTTTGCTATAATAATCTGTGACATCTCCTCTAAAGATTAGCATACCCGCCCCTTTCCTAGCCCCCTTCAAGGTGGGCAAATAACATGGCACATCGATTTGAACCAAAATTTTTTGTGTTGTGGTTACGTGATTTCAATAATTTTTTGATACAAAAAACTAGACATGTGCACCTTCATTTTACTTTTTACATATTTGATCTAACTCTTTTAGTTTAGCTGTTATCGATCAAACCCCGGCGACAGATTCATTTGACTGGTTAGATAATTATATAAAATATAATAGTGCGTAGTATATTTGGAATGGCGGGTAACTCAACAACTCGTGGCTATCTACAGAATAATTATACCGTAACAATTTGTCACTCTTGCCGTGCCTTCCCGCTCCCTCCTTTCCCATATATCCGATTAAAATGTTGTAAAGATATTAAAATAATAAGTTGCACTTTATACAATATCTCTAACATTTAAATTAAGTTATAAATATTTGGTTTTGCAATTATAAATAACATAAAATCATGTTAAAGTTATTATTTCAAAATAATAAATTCACTTATGCGGAAAATAATGCAATTATAATTTCAAGCAATGACATATAAAACGGGGTAATATATTAATATTTAATTGCATAACAATATTGAAGCTAACATCAATTAATATTATATTTATATATTAGTCATAATGTCTTCATAGCAAACATTTGTCAACACATCTAATGATGGAATTGGCGACCAATATATAGATCACAACTCACAACATAATTGCATTAATAGTGATTAAACGAAACCAATGGACACAATTCTAAGGGGTGTGTCATATGCAGCAGTAATTGACACTGGTAAGTTTATAATTTTTGACATACTGTATGTATAACTCTAATTAATTGTTATTGCATATAAATAGATAATTAAATTGTGAATGTTGTGAACACAATTTAAATTAAATTTTAGCACAAATTTTAGTTTAAAGAATTAAAATTATATAGATATTAAACAGATTACATTAGATTATTTTGGATAATGATCAAATAATACTAATATCTAGAATAGTGCTATTAGTAAATACTTGTTAAATATTAAGGGACACGAAAAATAATGCGAGAATCTTTGGTAAATTATTTTAAAATAAATTTGTCGTTAATTTTATTAAATATAATTTATTAATTAATACATTTTCAAATATTAGTGATTTTGATTACTTTAGTTATCAAATATTTACATTATAAATAAAACTTTTTGATCCGATCCCACTCATGCAAGCTCTCCTTGTCCCTCATTTGTAGTGAGTTTTTGACTATTATTTCAATACAATTCATAGAATTATCAAATATTAAATAATTACTTATCGATATTATTAGATTTATACGAAAGCCCAAAACTGGATGCATTACAAAGTAGTGGCCATAACGGACGACAACCCCAACAACAGTCACGACTGGTTGTGGTCTCCGGTCGTACGCATAGTATTGTCGCCAATGTATTGGACAAAGGGTTCGGCGACCGGAAAGCCAACCACCAGTTGAAGACACTTCTGGACAATGCCTTTACAGGAAGGGATGAATCGAATAGAGTGGACGACGATTTGTGGCGCGGATTCGCTGTCTTCACGACAACTACAGACGGCAACCGATTTCAACAGATCTCGAGACACATTGCGAGACAATCGGCACAAAACAAACCCAGCATTTGGTTTATGTTTACCGGTACAACATACTTTGTTTCAATTATATTTAAATATTAATTCAGTATTATATAAAATAATAATTAATAATAATATTATAATATAAATTATAGGTTTGCGACCAATCGTTTCACATTCGGTGCCAGCATTGATGACAATCCCGGCATTTAAAGCATCGGTGGAAACGTCGGCCCAAATGCTGTCCCCTCTGGGCGTCGACGGCAGCGAGTGTTTGACCGAAACGATCGATTGGAAGACCGAATTCAACGAACGCAACATTCACCGCGTGTTTATCGCAACGGCTGTCCATCACATGGCGTTCGTCGACGCCATGAGCGCCGTTGGGATCACTGCCGACGGCTATTTAGGTTCATCTCTGGGCGAACTCATGTGCTTATATATGGACGGTCTGTGCGATCGGCGCCATTGTCTGGCCATTTGTCGCGCTATTAAACCTCCGACGGGTCCGCACAGGTTATGGTCTATTATCGCTAGAAACTCGTGGCCCGAGATTCAACGGCATTGCATGGATAGGACCGACATATGTGTGTTCGCACACTTTGCCGATACATATATTATGGCAGTTGGGAGGGAAGCGGCCGTACGTGAGTTGAGCGATGTGTTGACTCGTTTGGGCACTAAAGTCGCAAATTTTGGTTCGAAACCTATTAGCCAGTTTGTGCACGCGGGTAATATGTTTGTGCCTAATATGAGCAAAGCGCTACTAGACCAATTGATCAAGGTGGAACCCGAGCGAACAATGAACTCTAAGCCTAGCGAACGTTGGCTTTCAACATCAAAGTCAATTACCAACACTGGCGGCACTGACGCCGGTTTTTCTGTAGCCGAGAGTTTTGCCAACACTTTGTTGTCTCCGATATTGCTTAAGGAAGCGGTCGATCGCTTGCCCGCCGACGCACTCGTTGTTAATATCGCCATAAATTCCGATTTGAGAGACATTGCGCTCAGCGGTAGAGTACAGGAGCCGTACGTTAGGCAATCGGAGTCGAATCTGGAGCCGGTGTTTGGTATCAATCATTTGTTACGTGAGATCGGACTCGTGTTTACGGCCGGACACTGGCCTCGGGTTCACGATTTGATGGAAGCAAACATTTAAACCATTGGTCTGTCAATTGCGTGCTTCTAATTTTTTGTATTTAAAAATTAGTTGATTTGAATTTAAAATTTATTATTAAAGTGATTTGTGTTTATTCAACGATTTACCAAGATTTGGTGAAATGTTTAGATTTAATATTTTTAGTTGTTATATATAGGTTTTTAGTTGTTATTTATTAGTTATTATTGTTAAAATTAATGTGGATTATTTTAAAGATCTTATTAACCACATTATTCATATTGAATTGTGGTTAAAAATTAACCAGAATTAATCGTTAAGAATTTGCAGAATATGTTTTATCAACTTGTTTATAAACTGTGCAGATTATACAGTATATAAATATTTATTGATACATATATACAAATATGTATATTATTTGATAATGATTTTATTAACAACAACAAATTTATTATAAATAAAATAAATTACAAAAAATTATGGTTTATCAAGGACAACACTTTTATTCCCGCGGGTCCAGGACCCGGACCCGACGGGTTCGGGTCCGATGGGACCACCCGTCATTTGGACCCGTCGGGTCCGGGTCCTGGACCCGTCGACGGGTCTACTAGTAATTTTATGTAGAATTAGGCGCGGAGTTCAAAAATAACGCATTTTTGTAAATGTATATCTCAAATAATTTTCGAGTTATTCGACCACATTATTCATACTGAAGTGTGGTTAAAAATTATAATTAAATAAGCTGCCATACAATTGCTTCATAAATTCTTCAATAATTGATTCCAACTTGATCCCTAAAGTTATCCACAACTAAGACATAATGCGTTAATTATTTTTAACCACAATTCAGATATGAATAATGTTGTTTATAGGATCGTTTGGCTACCCACTAATTAAACATTATATTTATGTTACATAAACCTTAGAATCAATATTTTTATATGATTTTTGTGTCTAATTTATAAATAAATAATTAATTAATTATTTAAGTGATGTTCATTACTATTATAGAGTATATTTGTTGTATTTATATTTAAGTTTAATGTTACATTTCTGTTATTTAACAATAAAACATTAGTTTTTATTGCATCCATACTATTGTGAGATGGAATTCTTGTAAACGTATAGCATAACAAGCACGTTTGTAACTCGTTATGGGTAAATGGCTATCGTTATAATTATGATTATTAGGCCATTATTCGACTTTCTAATAAGAGCCGTCTATAAGTCCTTGTGCTGCAGACCTCATTGTCTTACATACAAAAAGTTTAGGTACTGTTGTATACGTGTATAGTCAATATCTGTTGTGGTTAATCGTTAAACGAGAATATAATTTATGAACTGAGCACACCATTTATTAGAGAAATAATTAATTTAAAATCACATTATAAAAGCGCATTTTCTTTTTTTCTGAACTTATATTTACACATATACCTCATTCATATAGATATAATGGGTTTAAGTTTTGCATCCGGTCTATTGTTTTGATTGAATGCCAAATACATAAATTTACTACACACGATATAATATATACTATGCATTAATGTATATGTAAGATATTTATAGCGTGTATAATACCAACGGGTGTTTGTGTTTGTATTTGTGGTGTAATTTGAGTGCCTGTTGTATGGTATGAATGGTGTGAGTGTTGTCTGTATAGTGAGTGGACACAAGTGATAGGTGTATGCGATGTGTGACCACTCTATGCCTGCAATGAGTGACCACTGTATTGGCCTTCGGTTCACATGTGAGTGAATGGATGTGAAGGGAGTGAAGGCCTGATGTGTGGACACGATATGACGCGAATGGACTCAAAGACCAGCCATTGATTCTCGGCAGTGAATGCCTTACACTTTGTATTGCATGTAATGTCTGTGTGTGAGTGCGGGACACGACTAGCCACTAACAGCCAGCCGTAGTGTTTGTCGTGTATTTTGTAATATGAATAGACAATATATTTAATTATATAAATGGTGTATATCTTATAACGCCTCAAATGACTGATTCAACACTTTTTATAATGCATTCAATACTATAGTTTAGTGGACTCTTTGATTGCATCAAATCATTTGAATTACTGGCCATCCATTAAGTGAATCACTAATCACTAGAATTAAATGAAAACTATTTGAAATGCATTAATGTATTTGTATTAATATAAATAAAATGAAAAACTATTTGAATGTTTAATAAAAATAGGGATGGAATAATACAAAAAAAGTTGTTATATATTATAAGCAGGCATTATTTACACTAGCGTACACCCAGCATAAAACCCTTGTATTGTAATTTATAGACTATTCATATGTTAGTAATGTTAGTAACTTAACGTTTATAATGAATAGTTAACAAGGACACCTTGGTGATTCAATAACCACGTCATATTAAAAGCATAACTTATTTGACCCTGCCTTGTTTTATTATATATTATTACATGTATATGATGTATTATTATTAAAGCTGTCATACAAGTATTTATTATTATTTTGATTTATTATTAACAAACTTTTAGAAATTATTTTATCATTTAATATATATTTAGACATTTAAAGCCATGAATTTCAAGTAAATAAATGACATTATGTTTTATGACCAAATACATATTTATTTATAAGTCCTATATGTGAAATAAAACTTTGTTAAAAAGAACCTTATTATGTAATTCGTTTACCCCAAAGTTCCAAACATACATGTATGTATATCGTTAACCAATAAATATATTTAAAAAGCTATTTTGAACAGCTTTAATTATATCATACAATGTTTACAAATTAAAAATTAATGCTAACCAATGAGCAATGCTAATCTATGATCTTATTTTTCTAAAATAATTGATATTTTCTAGATATTATGTTTACAAGATTATTTTTTAAAATAATTATTTTTATACAATTTTTAAATAATTTAAAATAATTTTTGTTTATTTTGATAATGAGTTTCAATAAATATAATTAATCAATAGATTTGTTGAGTATTTGAATGAGAGACCAGTAATTAATTAAAAACAAATAGTTTAATAAGACAACTAAATATAAGAACCGTTTTTAGTTTAAGTTAAGCCAAAGATAAAACACTGCATTTAACTGCCATTTACTTGTATATCATATTCAACAACATTACATATTTATTGCCAATAATTTCATATGATTCATAGAGAAAAAACGAGAGTTAATAATGTATTTTTAACCACTATTCTGATATGAATAATGTGGTTTATAGGAT